TTGTCTGGCAGACTCTTGTTAATTCAGTTTAGGAGTTCAGAGGCTTGGGTGATACTTTAGAGTAACGGAAGAGCTTTATTTATTACTTTTTTGGGTTTTTGAGACAAGTGGGCCTGGGATTCACATTTTAACTCTCGATTCCAGTGCTAGTGGTAGAGGCATGTGGCACTATGGCTGGTTTGATCCCCCTTTCTTTGACTAGTCTGGGTCACTTACCTATCTCAAATTATTAACAAGTAGGGATTGTGGCTGGAGGAACAGAGAGGACTTTCAGGAGGGATGAGACGCCCTTTGAGAGGGCAGGATGGTTGAGTCAGTTCTTATGCCCGAGTCTGTGTTTCAGTGTGTGTAACTACTTTGCCTGCTTGTTCCCTGCCATGGGCCCAGCACCTTCATCTTAGTGAGCGATGCCTGGATGTTGGGTGGGATGTTTGTGCTCTGTGTAGAGCTAGGGCACAGCATTTCCAAGGTCAGGGCCCTAGCGTTCATTGTGATTGGGTCAACACCTATCTGGTGGCACACTTATCACTAAGAGTGGCAGGTAGGGCATCAGGGTGTGGCAGGAAACATTTGTAATCATAGTGTTTGGAGGTTTCCACAAAAAGTTCATGATGTCCTTTTTGTTTTATTTTTTAAATGTGTGTTGGTATTGTGCCTGCATGTTTATGTGAGCATCCATGTGTGCAATGCTCAGAGAGCATTTGATTCCCTGGGGCTAGAGTTAGAACAACTGGTGATCTCAACGACTGAGTTATTTCTCCAGTCCCGGTGGCTACATAGATCGTTTCAAAAAGGGGGAACAAAAATTATGTCTGTTAATCATGTTGGCTGAAAATGTTGTTAATTCTCTTAAGGGGAATAAACTGATACAGGACACAGAAGTATGAGTATATTGAGCAAAGTCTGTCCCTTGCTTAGCTTAGCATTTCTACCCACACCTCTGCTTTCTTCAGGATGGCCACCTGAGGCAGAGCCTATGTGTTCACACCAACAACCTCTATCCCCACAGGTTGATCCCTATCCTTGTGAATGGGATGAAGTACTCTGAAATTGACATCATCCTGCTTAAGGTCAGCTGGGGTGTCCACAGTTGGCTATGGGTGGCCCAGACCATGGGTGTTGTTGGGTTGGAGCCTCCAGCCTGTGCTGAGAAATCTGCCGGGGCTGGTCCCTAGGGGGATGTGGAGGAAGATGAGGCAGTACCTGACAGCGAGCAGGACATCAAGCCACGTTTCCACAAGTCACGCACAGTGACGCTGCCCCATGAGGCTGAGCGGCCTGATGGCTCTGAGGATGCTGAGGATGATGACGATGATGATGCTCTGTCGGACTGGAACCTGAGTAGGTAGTAGGCCAGCTCCTCAGGGATGGGGAGAAGCTGGTGCTAACAGTTTGTGAAGAGTTGATGGTGACATTTAGTCTCAAGAGTTGAATACCTGCCATCCAGGCCTCTCTGAGCCCTAGTCCTGTTGTCCCCCTTCAGGGAAATGCTCGGCGGCTGCGCTGGATGTCCTTGCCAATGTCTTCCGGGAGGAATTGCTGCCCCACCTGCTTCCCCTGCTCAAAGGCCTCCTGTTCCACCCTGAATGGGTGGTCAAGGAGTCAGGGATCCTGGTGCTGGGTGCCATTGCTGAGGGTGAGTCCAAACATTTGATCGGCATCTACCTGGGCTGACCTGGGCAATGCCAGTGATAAATGCAACTCCATAACACGGGCTGGGCTGCCTCATCCTTTCCTTTCTTAAAATTTTATTAATTGGTTTTCAGGACAGTGTTTCTTTGTGTGTGTGGACCAATCTGGCCTCCAACTCAAAGAGACCTGCCTGCTTCTACCTCCCAAGTGCTGGGTGGGATTAAAGTCATGCACCCCTACTGCCTGGCTTCCTCATTCTTTTCAAATAGCTGTTATCTGTCTTCCCCTTGCTTGGCTTGAAAGACACACCCTGATCCTACCCATCACCCCCTGCCATCGCTAGCAAATTCTCAGCACACTAGCCCTCTTCCTGGTTCTCACGCAGGTGATCCTGTGATGGTTCCAGCATAGATAGCAGCTGTAGTACCCACTTAAGGTTCTTCCTCACTACTCAGCCACAAATCCAGGGTTAAGCCCAGGCTCCATACGTGGGCAAATTGAGCTACATAGGCTGTTAAATTTAACAGTGTAAATGAGACAGTGGTGTGTATACATGTAGTTACAGAACTGGAGGAAGACTTGCAAGTGTGAGACCAGTGTCATCTGCACAGGAAGTTGAGGCAAGCTAGGGAGACATCCCAAACAATCCATAGTGTGGCTGGTAGTTGGCATAGCTTTGGGGCTTCTTTTCCTCCACAAGACATAGGGTATGCCCTGTGACCATTTTTGGCACATGTGACCATCTCACTACCCAGCATTGTCACCAAACTCCAGATATAGGCAGTAAGAGCTTTCAATCAGGAGAGCTTTTAATACCTGTGAGTGAGGCTTGGGGTTGGATGGGATACGGTCTATCATTTCAACATTTGTCTGGATTTTAAAAGGCTCGAGGTTCCATCTAGAAATGGTTTAATGACTTCTACTTCATAGGTCATCTCAGATACCATGCAACATGTGTGCATGGCTATTTTTTTGTTTTTTTGAGATAGAAATGATGGGAGATGTCATTCTGTAAATATGTTTCTCTTATTGGTTAATAAATAAAGCACTGTTGGCCAATAGGAAAGCAAGATAGGCGGGATAAGGGAGTAGGAGGAGAGAGGAAGGTAGTAGGGAGGAGATTCAACATGGAGGAGAGCACAACACTGCCTCTCTCTCCGGTAAGATGAGACCACATGGAAATACTTAGATTAATAGAAATGGGTTGATATTTAAGACAGAGCTAGCCAATGAGAAACTAGTAACTGGCCAACAGCATTTATATCTAATACAGCGCCTCAGTGTGTTATTTGGGGCTGGCCCGGCGTGAGACCAGATTGGGGGTGTGTGTGTGTGTGTGTGTGACAACACACATAGAAACTTATTCATAACATAGAAACTTATTATTCTTTGATTCTCCTGCCTCAGACTTCCTAGTGCTGGGATTACAAGTAGTTATCACCACATCTGGCTGAAGCAGGATCTCTTTTACATGCTGAGCAAGTCTTGAACGTGTAGCAATCCTGCCTCAGCTTTCAGAGGACAGGGAATATCACCTGTGAATATGTTGGGCAACCCTGTTAGGTGTACTGTGTTCTGTAGACCAGTAAAGGAGATCTATCGAAGTTGACCCTAAAGTAATAAAGAGGTATGTTCAAAGCTGGGCACAAGCCTTTAACCCCAACACTCAGACGAAGGCTGATCTCTGCAAGTCAAGGCCAGCACAGCCTACACATTAAGTTTCAGGTTAGGCGGGAGGGGTAACTAGTGTGTATGAAGCCCAAGGTTTTTTTGTTTTTGTGGTTTTTTTTTTTTTTTTTAAGACAGTGTTTGTCTGTGTAGCCTTGGCTGTCCTGGAACTTGATCTGTAGACTGTTCTGGCCTCTAACTCACAGAGATCCACCTGCCTCTGCCCCCCAAGTGCTGGGATTAAAGGCAGTTGCTACTGAGGCTGAAGAGATGGCTCAGAGATTAAGAGCACTGGCTGCTTTTCCAGAGGTCCTGAGGTCAATTCTCTATACCCACATGGTGGCTCACAACCATCTATGACATTTGGTGCCCTTCTGGTGTGTAGGCATATATGCCAGAACACTGTATACTTAATAAATAAGTAAATATTTTAAAAAAATATTGCTTCCACCACCCAATGAGGCCTAAGGTTTTATTCCTAGTATTGCGAAACAAACCAAAAAAACCTCTGTAAATAATTACATTAAAATGGTAACAAAGGAAAAAATGGCCGGGAGGTGGTAGCTCCCGACTTTAATCCCAGCAGACTTTAATCCCAGCACTCGGGAGGCAGAAGCAGGTGGATCTCTGAGGTCGAGACTAGCCTGGTCTACAGAGCTAGTTCTAGGACAGGCTGCAAAGCTACAGAGAAACCCCATATCTTGAAAAACCAAGGAAAAAAAAGAAAGAAAGAAAACCAAGATAAAAAATGAGAGCTGGAAAATTGGCTCAGTGGTTAAGAGTGCTTGATGCTCTTCCAGAGGACCTAAGTTTCATTCCTAGAATCCACCTATCCTCTCACAATTTCCTGCAACTCCAGCTCCTGGACAGCTTACATACTTACTCTTCTGACCTCTGTGGTGCCTGTATATCATCAGCACACCCCCTCACACAAAATAAATGGAGAGAAAGAGGGAGGGAGAAGAGGAAAAAACACATATACCTCAGAAAGTTTCAAGTTGAGAAGCGCTTCCTATCCGTCTGGGTCCTTGCTATCCATGAAGTCTAATTCACTGAGTAACCCTGCACATTTTGATTAGTCTCATGCTATTTTGAAAGCTGTGTGTGTGTGTGTGTGTGTGTGTGTGTGTGTGTGTGTGTGTGTGTGTGTGTGCGCGTGCGCGCGCGCTTTCTCAGTGATGTGCTAGCCTCAATTGTATGGCATGCCTCCTGCCTTGTTCTATGCACTGGCATTGTAGGTTTGACTACTGCCCAGCCAGAATTTGAACCACCTCCAGTCCCAGGGCATCTTCTGTGTCTTCTCTTGCTCCTGCCTTTTATGGGCTCTTACAGGCCTCAAGGCCTCAGTTTTCCCACCTATTACATTGGGTTGGATATGTGTAAGCCTCAGCCTTCTCTTAAAGACTTCCTATCTCCCGGTTACTGCAGGCTGTATGCAGGGAATGGTGCCCTATCTACCTGAGCTGATCCCACACCTCATCCAGTGCCTGTCAGACAAGAAGGCCCTGGTACGCTCCATTGCCTGCTGGACGCTGAGCCGCTATGCCCACTGGGTAGTCAGCCAGCCACCTGACATGCACCTCAAGCCTCTGATGACAGAGCTGCTCAAGCGGATCCTGGATGGCAACAAGAGGGTACAGGAGGCAGCCTGCAGGTGAGCCTTGACCCCTGACCCCTGTCTGCACAGTGGCCCCTCACCCTGGGAAGTGATGAAGCCTTTGACTGCTGACAATACACTGATCTCTGTTGTATTCGTACTGGCTGATCCCATATACATCCTCCCCAGCTTCCTGTGGTGTAGCTCCATTTGCTAGAGTCCATTAAGCTTTCCTTTGTATCTCTTCATCCACCAGTGCCTTTGCTACCCTGGAGGAAGAGGCATGCACAGAGCTGGTCCCCTACCTCAGCTATATCCTCGACACTCTTGTTTTTGCCTTTGGCAAATACCAGCACAAGAACCTGCTCATCCTCTATGATGCCATTGGCACCCTGGCCGACTCTGTGGGCCACCACCTCAATCAGCCGGTGAGTCCTTAGAGACCCTTTGCCCTATCCTTGTGTCCCTTGGCATCTGGTGTTAAGATGCCAGGGATGTGACCACAGCCTTGACGGGCAGGCCGAAGAACTTTATTTAATTAGCCTCTCTCTTACTCTGCCTCTAGTCTAGTGTGAGAGCTGGACAGTTTTAAGACAGCATGGTCAGTGCTGTGCTCGGGGGGCGGTGACCTGTGGGAAGCAGGAGGCTCTACCCAGGTTTCTGCAAGAGAGAGGAAGGGAAGGATTTACTAAGGACAGACAGATGAGAAGCATCAGCAGGGTTTACAGATCTTGAACTATGACCAGGATCCTGGATGTCATCTTTTAAGGCACAGCATTGACTGTGTTAAGCTGCCAACCTATCTAGGAAGCCCAATCTTCCACTCCTTCTCCAGGAGTATATTCAGAAGCTGATGCCTCCACTAATCCAGAAGTGGAATGAGCTCAAGGATGAAGACAAGGACCTCTTCCCTCTCCTGGAGGTGAGTAGGCTTAGGTCGTCCCTCAGAGTCCTCTCACCTGGCCAGAGCTCACCCTCGCCCTTTTCCCTGCCAGTGTCTGTCATCAGTGGCCACTGCCCTGCAGAGTGGCTTCCTGCCCTACTGTGAGCCTGTCTACCAGCGCTGTGTTACCCTGGTGCAGAAGACACTGGCCCAGGCTATGGTAAGCACCCTGGGCCCTCTGTGAACTTGCTCTACTGCCCAGGTCCTAGCCTACCTTCCTCATCTGCCCCCTTTGTATCCAGATGTACACACAGCACCCTGAACAATATGAGGCCCCTGACAAGGACTTCATGATCGTTGCATTGGACCTGCTTAGTGGCTTGGCTGAGGGCCTGGGTGGCCATGTGGAGCAGCTGGTAGCCCGAAGTAACATCATGACATTGCTCTTCCAGTGTATGCAGGTGAGTGGTCACCCTGCAGAGGCCACACTGAAGTCAGGCCACACCCAAATAGGCCAAGGGGACTTTTTCTAGGCCATCACAGTTTATATAACAGCTGCCATAGTTGACCCTGGGGCTAGTCAGGGCCTTGACTGTGCCCAGGGATTGTCAAAGAAGAGGCGTTCTTAAAAACAAAATTTCATGGGCTAGAGAGATGGCTCCACAGTTAAAGCATTTATTGCTCTTGTAGAATACTTGTGTTTGGTTCTTAGCAGCCACATGGTGGCTCACAGCCATCATAAACAGCTCCAGGGGATTGCATGCTCTCTTTTAGTCTTTGAGGACACTAGGCCCACACATGGTGCACAGGCATACATACAGGCAAAACTCTAATTATATATACACTTAAGATGGAAACATACATGCTTTTTTCTTAAAGACTGGGAATAATGGTATTACATGATCTTAAACCCAGTACTCAGGAATCAGAGGCTTATGGGTCTCTGAATGTTAGGTCAGTCAGGGGTACAGAGTGAAATCTTGTCTCCAGAATAAAATAGTCAGTTTTGTGCTGTTGAGATGGCTCAGTAGGTGGAGATGTCTCTTGTCAAGTCTATGACAACCTGGCCAGAGAACCCCAGGACACACACGAATAAAGAGTGAACCAGTTTTAGTTGACCTCTGACCCCCACGTCTGCCATGACACTTATACCTGCTTATGCATGCACACAGATTAAATAAATACAATTCTAAGTCTGAGGAGGTAGCTGTGTAAACAGTGAGCTCCACAGACTGGTTTTTGTTTTCTTAAGCAGTTGCGTTTAGTGGCACATGCTTGTAATCCCAGCTTTGGGGAGACAGACATAGAGGCAGTTCCTGGGGCTTGTGGTCAGCCACTGTATTCTAGTTAGTGCTCTCTAGGCCAGTGAGAGACCCTGAGTCACAAAACAAAGTGGAAGGCTGGAATAGGGATAGGCAGTGGTAGAGCTCTTGCCTACCATGTGTAAGGCTCTAGCAACCTCCAACACTAAAATAAATAAACAAGCAAATGTTGGCTGGTCCCTCAGGAGTGACAGCTGGTTTTTGCCTGTCCTCCCATATGCAGGTGTCTACTCATACCCTACCCATACATAAATACAGTACCTTTTTTTTTTTTTTTTTTTTTTTTTTTTTTTGGTTAGGAAATGTAGTGCAGGTTGATCTCAAAAATAAAATTTTGGGCCCAGGCCTTTAATCCCAGCTCTTTACAGGTAGAGATAGGTGGATCTCTGTGAGTTCCAGGCTAACCAGAGCTATGTAGTGAGACCATGTGTCCAAAAATAAGCACACACACATATATTTCTATATGGGCTAGAGAGATGACTTAGTAAAATGCTTGTTGGACAAGAATAGGAACCTGCATTTGATCTCCATCACCCAAGGGGGCAGGTGCTGAAGTGTTGGCTTACGTTAAGGGTACTTACCACTCTTCCAGAAAACCTGAGTTTGGTTCTAGCACCCACATGAGGTAGCTAACAGTGACAACTGTCTGTATGGAACTCCAGATCTCCAGGGGATCTGACTCCCACTCTAGCCTCCAAGGACACCTTTACAACTCTTCCCCAGCATGTAAACATAATTAAAGATAAAAATAATGGGTGCAGCTGCACAGAGGAACCTGTGATCCCAGCACTGGGCAAGTAGAGACAGAAGGATCCCTGGGGTTCTCTGGCCAGGGGTCTAGCTGTGTTTCAGTGAGCTTAGGTTTAAAAAGAAATTGTGCCTCTAAAAATAAGGTTAGGTGACAACCGAGGAAGGTGACCCAATGGCATGCATCCTTGTGCTACATACAGTAGTAAGCCTGGTTTGTGCAGCAGACTCTGTCTCAAGAAAGAAAACTTAGGAGTGTATTTAATACAACTGTTACTTTGTGGTTAGGGGGCTGGGAATGGAACAGGGTTCTGGAACATTTTAAGTAAATGCTTACCAATGAACTCCACTGCTAGATCTTGGCAACAGGCTATAGTATGGTAGGAGGTGGCTAACAGTAAGGGACAGCCCTGCACCTCAGCCAGTGTTGTGGTCAGGATATGCTCAGCTGGCTTGGATGGAAGGAGTGGGAGCCCTGTCATTTTGCCACCTCTCCCAACTCCAGGATTCCATGCCTGAGGTCCGGCAGAGCTCCTTCGCCCTTCTGGGAGACCTTACCAAAGCCTGCTTTATCCACGTCAAGCCCTGTATCGGTAGGCTACCTACCCCCTTTACCCTAACCTATGGCCCCAGTACTGGCCTCTCCAGTGATGGAGACATGCCCCGGGAGGCCCATGACTGGACTGGGATGTATTTGTATTGTTTGATGGGTTGCCCAGCCAGTTCTGGGAGTGTGGCCTCATTGGCCTTTCTGCTCAGTCTTTTTCTGCTCTTTTTTGTTCCATTAGCTGAGTTCATGCCTATCCTGGGCACCAACCTGAACCCTGAGTTCATCTCTGTCTGTAACAATGCCACTTGGGCCATTGGGGAGATCTGTATGCAGATGGGTGAGTGCCCTGAAAGTGGCAGACTGTGTCTTCATTGGTCTCTTTCTGTTCCTGGGGGCCAGAGCTGGATTCTGACAGGTCCCCAGGAATGCCTCTGATTGTCTAGGGTCAAGATCATCCTTTGATTTCTCTGACAGGTGAAATCAAATAACTAAAAAGCCATTTATGAGGTGGGGTAAATGGTCTGTTTTTGCTGGACCATCTCATGTATAATTGCCTTCCTGAAAGGCTCAGTGGAATCACTTGGGTGACTGGACTCCTGACCTTGTGGGTAGTGAATTCAGACTCCTTTGGGTGGGTCTGTTGTGGCTGTGGACTTGGCTGGGAGCATCCGGAGGAGGTTCTTTGTTCTCTCAGGCTTTGTGGTACAGCAGAGTGCATGGGGCTGGGGACATGGATTGAGGTCAGCCACACTCAGCTGGCCTTCTGTGGGTAGAGTGGGCCATGAAGGGTTCTGAATGGCTGGTCCCTAGGGGCAGAGATGCAGCCCTATGTGCAGATGGTCCTCAACAATCTGGTGGAGATCATTAACAGGCCCAACACGCCCAAGACACTACTGGAAAACACAGGTGAGTACCAGGCCTGGGCTGAGAGGGAGAGTTCTAAGAACGGTGTCAACACCTGAAATGGGATTCTGGGAGAAACCCAAGAAAGAATGCTGGTTTTAGAAGATGTGGGAAGAGACCCAGGCTGGGTGGGGAGGACACCTTTATGGGCCAAACTCAACGGCCCAGGATAGTCATAGGGTCCTTCAGTTGGGGCCTGTGGGGCGGGGCTCGGTGCCTCCTATCAGAGGCCCCGCCACGTACCGTCCCCGGGCCACTCGGGGTTGCAGGTCGCCTGACGAGTCCCTCTGCCATTCCAGCCATCACCATCGGCCGCCTGGGCTACGTGTGCCCACAGGAGGTGGCACCCATGCTGCAGCAGTTCATCCGGCCTTGGTGTGTGCCTGCCTGGGTGGGACCTGCTGGGGGTGGGCAGGACAGCTGTGCTCCCTACGCCCCCCATGGATGCATGTGGGAGACCTGTACCCATGGACACCCCACCCCTATCCCATTCCCTCCATCCATTCCTTCACCTATGCTTGTCCAGCCCCAAGTCCATCCACTGACCTGCTGCCCTCCTCCACGGCCAGGTGCACGTCCCTTAGGAACATCCGGGACAACGAGGAGAAGGACTCTGCCTTCCGAGGCATCTGCATGATGATTGGTGTCAACCCTGGGGGTGTTGTGCAGGTCCGGGCAGCGGGACTCAGAGGGCAGGGCGGGGGCTGGCTTGGGCGGCCCCTCACATGGGATCCGTCATGTTCCAGGACTTTATTTTCTTCTGCGATG